GCACCTGTGGTTTCTCGAATGTTACCTCTGGGTTCCTATATCTGCCTCATCTGCTGTTGCACTCTCCTGTCCCTTATCAGGAACGAAATCTAAATAACTTAATCTGAGGGGTATGACCACCTACTAGAGCAAGTATTCAAGTAGCTTTCCCCTTTCCTGATGTGGTGGAATGTTTGCAGCTCATACTCCAGTTCCTCTATACAGATTCTAAGTTCCTCAAATTGCAAACACTTGTATGTTTGCCCTGAATAATTTTAGGGTCAAGCAATACCCTAAATGTAAAGCAATGTAACAGCAGTAATACATCACTCATTCTGCCATAGTTTAATTTATTAGTAAATACTCTAGTATCTCTGGTCTTTACATTTTATTACACTAGCATCAATCGCTTTCTTAACAAGTATAGTCACCTCTCACTCTGGGGCTTTATTACTTGGAATAAACCTTACTTAACATCTCTCTTTTACCCTGTGCATTCAACTCCCACTTTGAACCAAAGATAGATATACTTAGGCAGCATCTTCCTCCATCACATTATCCCACTCCTCCAAGTTAATTCAGAGCTGTAGCTAATGTATGGCAAGATTGCAGCTGCTGAGCTGCTTGTCCTCTGACTTGCGAGCATCTCTCAGGGCAGGCAACCGTACTTAATTGCTGCCACTAGACAAATGTCACCCAGGGTCCGACTAATCACAGATGCAAAATGGTTTAGCCATTTTTGGTGCCGTGAGTGAGACCCTTCCCACAACCACAAAATTCTTGCTTCTCTCTTAACTTGCTCAAGCTCAAGGAGTTTTAGATCTTTGCACTCCCTCACTTCTGGCCTGTTGTACATCCCCGATTTCAATCTTTCTGCCATTGATGGTTGTGCTTCCAGTTAAACCCCAAGATCTGCAATTCCCTCCTTAATCCTTTCCACCCCTCTCTTTTCCTCTATGATGCTTCTTAAAACCTACCACTCCAAATCAAGCATTTGGAAAGCTGTCCTCACATCTATTGTGGATTTAAAAAAAGCCAATTTTGCACTTAAGAATCTTGGGACATTTTACTGTGTTAAATGAGTCACCTGAATTCAAGATGTTGGAACATAAGCTAGGAAGAGCATGCTACAAATGCCAAATCTGAACCAAACAATCAAATCCTGATGATCCAAGACTATGAAGAAGATTGGCAGAGTGTTTGAACAGTTTTACAAGAATGATGATTATAATCTAGGTCATTATTCATTTTAGTCTACCAGGATTCCCCTTACAAAGTTATTTGCCATGAATGGAGAGGCTGGAGAATCAGGAAATATTCTCTTTAGAGTAAAGATCTCCCCCTTCATCCTTCTAAACTCCATTGAGCACAGACGCAGATTCCTCAACTGCTCCTCATATGATAGGCCCTTCTTTCCCAGGATCATTCTTGTCAACCTCCTCTGGACCCCCTCCAAGGCCTGCATACACTTCCTTAGGTACGGAGCCCAAAACTATGCACAATAGTCCAAATGCGGTCTGACTGACCCTTACACAGCCTCAGAAGCCTCCCTGCTCTTGCACTCTAGTCCTCTCAAAATGAATGCTAATGTTGCATTTGCCTTCCTTACTGTCAATGAATCCGCACGTTAATGTTAAGAGAATTCCTAACTGAGACTCCAAAGACACTTTATGCTTCATAATTCTGAAGCCTTTCCCCAACTGGAAAATAGTTTACACTTCTATTCTTCCTAACAAAGTGCATAATTTCACACTTTCCCATTACATTCCATCTGCCACTTCTTTGCACACTGTCCTAGCCTCCAAGTCCTTCTGCAGCCTCCCCGCCTCCTCAACACTATCTGTCCCTCCACCTATATTTGTAATTTCTGCACACTTAGTAACAATGCCCGCAGTTCCTTCATCCAATTTGTTAATACTGTTTTACAACGGAGTTTTATGGCTATCCTCATTGAACAGTGTTTGCAGGCTTGGGCTCTTGGTTTTGGAGGTGGTTGGGAGAAAAACCTGCAAACAAAAAAAACACAAGCTGCCCACTTAAGTCTCTGGTTTCTAAAACATCTGTTGGATGAATTTGTGTAACATGATTACTCTTCTGAAACAACTTCACAATATCTTATTCAAGCAAGCTGTGTCTAAGCCTCCAGAGACATCCATGTATAATTAGTGTCATAACCACACAGAATCCTCACGGTGTGGAAACCGGCCCTTCGGCCCAACATGTCTGCACTGACCCTCAGAGCATCCCACCCAGATCCATCCCCCTATAACCCAACTAACCTATACATCCCTGAACATTATGGGCAATTTAGTATGGCCAATTGACCTAACCTGCACATCTTTGGACTGTGGGAGGAAAACGGAGCACCAGGTGGAAACCCACGCAGACACGGGAAGACCGTGCAAACTCCACATAGACAGTCGCCAGAGGCTGGAATTGAACTCGGGTTCCTGGTGCTGTGAGGCAGCAGTGCTAACCACTGAGCCACCATGCTGCCCCAACTGCCCTAGAAACATGTGCAAAACCATCACATTGACATACTTCAGAACATTCTACACCTCTTTTGTCCACGAATGTCCACCCTTAGCCAGAAAGTGCTTTTCTTTTTAAAATGTGTACATATCTTTAGTTATTTAAACATGGAAATCATTACAAAAACTGCAAGTTAACCAACTTTGAATCTTCATTGGATGGGATTTGTTTTATAATAACTTGATAATTTTATGTTTACTAAAGAAACCTAGCTGGTGGATCACTTCTTTCGAAGCCTAAAATTGAGAAAGAATATAATCAGCCAAGTCAAGATTTGGTTAAAATAATTTTGAACTTACGCTGTGACCCAGAGCAGAGACTACAGAAAGGCTGTGCCTGACTGCCATCTTAGTCATAGCAACTGGCATAGACTAGTTAAGCTGAATGTCCTGTTTCCTTACTGTAAAGTTCAAAGTAATTTTATAATGAGTGAGAAATCAACTGACATTTCATAAAAATTTATGATCTTTGCCTGTTCTGAAGAGGAGTTTTACCGGATTTGAAACATTAATTGTTTCGATCGCCACAGATTCTGCCAGATCTGCTGAGTTTCTCCAGCATTCTGTGTTTGTTTCAGATTTCCAGCATATGCACTATTTTGCCTTTATACTAATTTTGTCTGTTCTTTTCATATGCTCATAATTGACGATGCACCCATCATTGCTGTTGTTGTTATACAGTACACTGTCTTATACAATGAAAGCTGAAAGAAGAGGCACATTTGCTCAGTGTACTTGAAACTTTACAGTTATGTAGTGCAACATTTAGGTAGGAAATTATGAGTTCTCATGGTTTTTAAGATCTTTGTTGCTGCGACTATTTAAAGTGAAATTTCCTTTTCTATTTGAATATAATTTGTCTATTAATTCATATGATTAAAAATCAACATAAAATGTACAAGTTACTAAAAGTGAAATGTTGATGGTAATTTGCATTTTGAAGTTCACTTTATTTTGATTTACAGTTCTCCCACAGGCATCAGACATTAGTGAATAACCATTCTTGTCATTATCAAGCTACGTGCAGCCTGCCAAACAGTTGAACCTGACATTCCCCTCCAAAGTCTATCATGGATACTAGAGCTGGTATTATCACAATTTTAAAAACATGACAATTTTAAGTCCCTCCCAAATTTAGAAGCCTTTGAGATCTTTTTACACCGCCAATTCTAATACATTCCCATTTTCTTTTGTTCCACTATTTGCAACTATGCCTTCAGGAAGCATGGCTCTAACTTCTGGAAATACCTCCGTAAACCTCTTTACCTTTCAGTCCTCTTTTAAGATACTACTTAAAATCCATCTTTTTGATCCATCTTTTGGTCATCTTTTGCAATAACTCATTATTTTGTGTCAAATTTTGTTTGTTATCACCTGTGAAATGCTTGGGGCATTTAAAATTGCAATCTAAATCGAAGATGTTTTTATTAGGTGGTGCATAGCAAAGAATCAGAGCTACACAGAGCAGCACCTGTGCTCCAACAAGGCTGCTGTATTTCATTGGCCATCGATTAGAATTCCATTCCCTTGTTCACTCCCCACACTTTTAATATCTTTCTTATTCATTCAAGCTACTAATTCCATTAAAAAAAACAACTTGTATTCCACCTGAACAATAGTGACACAGAATTTCCTGTGTAAAGTATTTTTTCTTACTTTCCCTTTAATTCATTTGCAACAAAACCATACAGTAATATATATCATTCAGCCTTATATGCCTGTGCTGGCTGTTTGAAAGAAGGGAGTTACCCAGATAATCCAACTCCCCTGTCCTTTCCCCATAGGTTTGCAAATTTTTGAAAAAGTTTTCCGTTGAAAATTACTATTAAATTTGGGTTCCATCATCCTTCTAGGCAATGCATTCCAAATCACAACATCTCACTGCATAATATTTCTTTTTCTTCAAGTAGCCTCTCGTTTTTTGCCAATTATCTTAAGTCCATGTCCTCTAGTTACCAACATCAATCTCTACTACTGGAAACAATTTCTCCTGATCCCTCCATCAAATCATTGATTGTGAAAACCTCTATCATAATCTTGCCTCAGAGGTATTGATTGTTAATTTGTACTACACGATTTACAGCTTTGGACCAGTGATTCTAGCAGTTAGTTTCATTCATGATACATGTTTGAATGCCATACATTGCTTCTGGTAAACCTTATTAATAGTGCAATGTGATTACATTAGGAAGGGCCATGCTTTTTATTGGACTTAGGTCCACGCATTTGCAGCCTTGTGGGCCACATTGAAAATCAAAATCTAATGGATTTCTAATATTTGAAGTTGTCCACACTGATTGAGGAGCTAGAACATCAAATCTATGAGTCAACAGTATTAAGAACCTCTGGGCCCAAGAAATTCAGAACAAGACAAACCAGCGTTGACTAAATCAGGTCTATATACTATTAAGCTCATAAACCTTCAATCTAAATGGGTTTTATGATTTTGCAAATTTGGATACAATTTTGCTTCTATAAATAAAAACTCACCAATTTGGATGGAGAAAGATATTCTTCAATTAGGAACTCAGATTCATCTTTAATAACCGGACTGGGATTTAATAAACCCGGCTGCCCAAAATCCAGCACCCTAACTGTTGCAGTGCCTGTGCGAGTAACAAAGGCTGGGCGGTGATGAAGTTCCATTGATACCCTGAAAACAAAGAACAGTGGCAAGTAGAACTGTGGCTTTAAAGAAAGCTATAAACTCAATTATAAAAAAAATTTAACTGTGGGCCAAATTTTAATGAAATCTGTTATGTGTCAATTTTGGCAAGTTTCATGGAGAACTTCTCTCCAAGAGCCCTAGTGAGTTCTCTCATGCTATCTTCCCAAAGTCATTTGATTACTTATATATCATGCCCCTAAGGCATCCCACTCATTCTCCCACTTGCCAAAGGTGGTAGTGCTGCCCACCTCAAGGGACTTCCCAGGCTTCCAGGCACTAGCATCATCCATAAAGGCTAGCCATGCACCCAGTCAAGCACAGCAGTCGGCAGCTGCCCTGAATGGCTCTTGTCAATTGCTCCAGACACATTAGGCAGAGGGAAACTGGCACCCTGCTTTGCCAACAAAGATCTAAAGGTCCTTGTAGACTGGGGCTGCATGCGGTCACTGCTTATAGAGCGTGCTCCAAGATGTAGGTGATAGACTAGCAAGATAGAGGGCTGGAGGGGTGAGTGATGAGCTAGAATCACCAATTTGCAGCTCTTTCATATCAGGAATTCTCGCCATTTTTTTCTATCCTGCAGGTCGGAGCATGAGAATCTGCATAGCAATTAAGTGAGATGACATAATGAGAATGTTAATGCATGCAAATAGGCCTCACACCACTCACTATTGAGAATCTTGTCTTGTCATTCAAGATTTGGTTGGAAAATTGACTTTTTATCTTGATGTCATATCGCCTTACTAATGATGTCACACAATTCCTTCAACTTTCTGGCCATTATCCATGTTGTTCAATGGACTGGGAAGATTCCACCCTTTGCTTCTAAAAGTTGCAGTCTTCAAGAACGAGGCTAAAAGAGGACCAGGATACTGTCCACAATTTTAAGGACTGGAATGTCTTAAATAATAAGTTATTCTGCACTTACAGTGGAACCAAATCTCTCAAATTACAAAAGTCAAACTGTCAGCAAAATGCTGGGCCAAGTCAATTGAGTTTTAATTGTGATGAAGGAATTTTGAGGTTTGTAAATTGACTCCAAGTTTCAAATTGTAGGCTAAATTCTCCAAGCTCTGAGTGAGTGATATTCTAAGAAATGTGACATTTGGCAGGATTTCCTGCAGCACTGCTTACAGTGAAATAACTCTGCAGAAGCCAGTATCCCGTCATCAAGTTACCCTTCATTTGCACGTGGAGAGTCTTTGACACTGATCCAGCTCCGTCAGAGTCAGCTGTCAGTGTTCAGGATGTCTGGCACTGATGTTTTTACCTGTCAGGGCTCCCTAATTGGACCAGATTAACAGCCCCAATCAGGGAACTTATTCTGTGAAAATCCACCTGGCTGACCTTGTTACAATCACTACATGTAGTATTTGAATGACACTTATTTATTTACAGGATCGGGATGCATTCGTGCCTCATCCCTATTTGCCTTTGAAAGGTGGTGATGAACAATTGTAGCAATTTTATAGACTACTTCACAGGACAAATAATAGTTGACTACATTTGATTGTGGTACTGCAGTCACCTAATAACAGCAGTGGTAAACTTGACATTGTCATGAAAACCTATTGTGTTCACTATGCCCTCCAAGGAAGGAAATCTACCATTCTAATGCAATCCAGTCTACATTTGGCTCCAGACTCAGAATCAAGGTTAACTCCTCTGAAATGGCCTCCAGTTGTATTAGAGATGAGAAATAAATGCAGTGCTTGACATGTGACTAACATTCAGTCACTAGTTAAAAATAAACAGCATGTCTTTTTGCTTCAAATTTCATAGCTCAGGGACACAACATTTTTTTCATTCTATAAATTAGAGGAAAAAGAATGATGGACACCATGTATTTTGCAAGTGTTAATCAACGATGCTACCGTACAGTCACTGGGTATGTGAAGTCCCATTGTCATTCAAAGCTGAAAAAGAAAAATGAATAATTGAAACAATTAACCATTGATGCTATGCAACCGACACAATGCGTGGAAGTGAGGGGAAAACATGTAAAGGTGAAATCTTCAGTGGGATATATCTAAAAAACCTACGGCCACATTTGGCAACCTAACAGTAATTCACCATCTGTGAAGGCATTCTGGAGATCTGAAAGGTACTATATAAAATGCAAATACTTTCCTTTCTTATTTCAAGCAACACAATTTGTCTTGAGCCTGATTAGCTATGTATTCATGAATTAGGTTCAGATATTTATATCTGCAAAAATTTGCTAGATCTTTTCTGTGTTGTTATACAGGAAAGAAGATACATTGCAAGTGTACCATCATGCTTTGCACAACATTCTGCCATGCCCCATTGTTGGAACACATTTATTGAGCTTAACCCAACAAGGCACAAACACTCACCATTACTTTGTCTATAGAAGATATTCAGTGGGATTTCCCTCTGCACCAGTGCATTTTGGGCCAGCCACATCACAAATATACTCTGCTAGGACTTTAATCATAATTCATGAACCTGCATTCAGGACTCATTGATTAGACCAAATGAAACTCGGTTATGAAGTACTGGTGAAAAGGCCTTGGTGGGTGGAAGCCCAACTACTTACAGGTCCTTAAAGGCAGCTACTGAGTAGGTCACACAGGGAGAGACCTGGGACAGGAATTTTATTGAAATCGGTATTTTTGAGAAATGCTAGAAACAGCATCACACAGCCCTTTTGGAGTAGCTAAAATCCATAGCTTCCTTAGTAAAAATTTGAACACTGAAAAGATTTTATAGGACAAGTCCTTTCAAAATGTATTTTTTTAAAATATTCTTTTACACAGGATGTGGGCACTTCCGGCAAGGTCAATATTTGTTGCCTGTTCTAAACTGCCCTTGATACAAGTGGTTTGCTGGACGGTTGAAAGTCAACACACTGCAGTTGATTAGGAGTCACATGTAGGCCAAACCAAGTAAAGGCATCAGATTTCCTTCCCAAAAGGACATTAGCAAACCAGTTTTTAATGAGAATTGGTTTGATGGCCACCATTACCAAGACTAACTTTATATTTCAGACATATTAACCGAGTTCAAATACTGACGGGTGGCATAGGATTTGGCCTGGGCTTCTTGGATACCAGCCCAGTAACAAGATTGCTACACCTCCACTCTCCATCCCTATTCAAGGTGGGCAAGGTATTGGTTGTGTCCCAGGTAAAAATCAGGTACAGCATTTCTAATCGGCTTGTGAAATAGTTGCAATAAGGACCCACCACAGTAACAAGTGTACACACAACTGGTTCAATACGCAATGTTGAAAATCTAAAAATGCACTGATATCGCAATAACATGGAGGAATAGGGAAAATAAGCATAGGCATGATGAATGTTGATGTTTCGGGTCAGGACCCTTCTTCAGAAATGGGTCTGAAGAAGTGTCCTGACCCAAAACGTCAACTTTCCTGCTCCTCTGATGCTGCCTGGCATGCTGCGTTCCTCCAGCTCCACATTGTTATCTCTGACTCAGCATCTGCAGTTCTTGCAGTCTCCAGGCATAATGAATGTTATGGGAACAGAGAGAGGGTGAGGGTTTGGCAGTGGTTTTGCTTTTATTCAAGGTAGCATGAAGCTGCTGTAGGATTGTTTGATTATGGAATGCATGTTGCTCTGCAGCAGAGAAACAATGGTTAAGAGGGCAAAGGTAATTACCTTAGCAGTCGTCAAGAGTGCTTACAATTGTTGCTCCCCTTCTGCTTTAAAATAAAATCAACTTATTAAATGAGTAGGTTGGGAAGCTGACCACAACCTTCATCACTAAATGTACACAAAAAACAGCTTTTACCAACAGATCCACAGCTGATGTAGAAAGGCAAAGATAAGACAGTGTCTTGTACTCTAGGCAGTTCAAGAAGCAGCAGCAAGATAGATATTCATACGAGTGGGATTGAGAGTGACATCTGCAAGGAAGCATTCATTACCCATTTCTGGGTGAGCTTAAGGAATTAAAACCAAACACATAAGCAAGGCCGGGAAAGGTGCAGGTTCTCTACTTCTCTCCACCCAAACACTACCCCACACCACCCACCCCCACCCTCCAAAAGAAAAAGTTTTGGTGAACCTCTCAGAGTTACAGACCCTGCAGCAAAGTGATAAGAAGCTTCATAAATGTGCACGTTCCTTTTCCTTACAGTGCTCCAACAACACGTAAAGATGACAAGAAGCAAAATACAAACAAGCTTACTTTTTGTAGCAATATTGGAGGATGTTAAATGGAAACCATAGGTTTGAAACTCTCCAAATTTGTCTCTTTGCTGATAAAGTTTTGACAAACTGCAAGTTAAATCAACTCCTGTAAACAGAGGGAAAAATTGCAAAATATTTAATAGAAAAAGTTCTTAATGCATTTTTGAATGACCTTATTGTTGAGCTGTTTCATTAGGAATTACTTTTATTTGAACTAGTAATAACTTCAACTTCTACTTTAGTAAAATGACTCCTCTATGCAGGGCTGTAAACCAATGTACAGTTCACAGCTGTTGAGCATGTCACATAGGGAGAGACCTGGGACAAGAATTTTATTGAAATTTGTATCTTTGAGACACGCTATAAACAATATGGCACAGCCTTTTTGGAACAGCTAAAATCCACACGAGAGATCTATGACCAGAAATTTTTAAAAAATGGTTATAAATATAAGCAGTTTCATTCACATTCAAATTAATGCATGTTCAAGTTGGAAGCACTTTCTCAGAACTGGTACAAGATGGCAGAAGACCTCCTTTACATTGAAGAAACACTTGCATTCCTACATTCTAATAAAAACAGGAATTGCTGGAAAAGTTTAGTAGGTCTGGCAGCATCTGTGGGAAGAAAGCAGAATTATTGTTTTGAATCTGGAGACTCATCAGAACACTTAAATACTTAGAACACCAAGTGAGCTAAGTGCTCGGAGGAGAGTCACCAGATTCAAAACAATAACTGCTTTCTTCCCACAGATGTTGCCAGACCTGCTGATTAGCCTTAGCAAAATGCAGCACCTTACATTTATCTAAATTGATCTCCAGCTGCCATTTCTCAGCCCATTGGCCCATCTGATCAAGGCAGAGCTTTTGAACTCATTGCTCTGAAGTGTGGCACCCACTAACTGAGTAGAAAACACCACACAGTGTTCCCTTAAACAAAAGCACTTTCCTATGTTTTAACAGTAATTGATCTGGTTCAAAATCTGTATTGCTCAAGAGGAAGACCAGCACCACAAGCTTCCTGGACATCTCAATTTCTTGCGTTAAATGGAAGTTCTTTCGTTTTCTGTCAACCTGGAGTTTTTATGTTAATAAGGGAATATTTCTGTCATAGAAATGTAGAGCAAGCCTCAACTGTACTATCAGTATCATGACTGATCCAGAGAACAAAACCAACACTACTCACTTTCCCTTATTTAATGGGGAGACGATTGCTGAATTGTCAGTCCGGAGACCCAGGTTTGAATCCCGCCATAGCAGATGGTAGAATTTGAAATCAATAAAAATTTGGAAAGAAGGGTCTAATGATGACCATGAATCCACTGTCAATTGTCAGGAAAATACCATCTGGTTCACTAATGTCCTTTAGGGAAGAAAAAGGCCATCTGCAATCCTTACCTGGTCCGACCTATGTGATTCCAGACCCACAGCAGTGTGGTCGACTCTTAACTGCCCTTTGGAATGGGCAATAAATGCTGGCTTAGCCAGCAACACCCTCATCCCACGAATAAAAGAATTGTTCTTTTTAAAATAGAAAACATATCATTCAAAATTCCATTTGCAATTCTGTGACTGCCAGTTATTTCTCTATAGACTATCTGGAGTCCACACAGACAAGAAAATGAATTATATCTACTTGTGCTATAGTTTATTTGTGCAAAAAAAAAAGTATATAGTTTTGCGATCTTTACAATTTGAAATAAGATGCTGTACTAATACTTTGCCTAATCACATCCTTGGAATATCCCAAGCAAAGAATCACAATCACCGAGCTGCTGGATTAACAGTCAACTAAGAAACAAAATCACTAATAATCACTACATCTAACAAACACAGACACGTGCATGCAGTACAAGAGTGTTAAAAGTCCATCTTGCATGATGCAACTAAGAACACATTTCATTGGCTATTAATGCAGATAAAATGAATTTCCTCAAGAGCTCTCTACCACTCTCAATAAAATGCCCTCAGAACCCATCTTTTTTATACCAAGTCAGTAATCTGTTATTGCTCTGTAAAGTGTATTGGAACATTTTGTACATTACAGGTATTATAACATATTGACCAATGGAAATTGCTGACTAGCCAGGATGTGACTATGGCAACAGTATTTTAGTCACATGCAACAATTTTAGGAAAGAGTGTCCCACACACAAAGCAGATGAATATACTTCACAGGAGCTGTTTACTTAGATATATACCCTTCAATAATCAAGCTCTCAACAATCAATAAACAATTGTATAAATCAACTCTGCATGGTATCCACATATGCACAGATAAGTTTTTTTTAAATTCATTAACAGAATGAGGACATCACTGGCTAGCAGCATTTATTGTCCATCCAGAATTGCCCAGAGGGCAGTTCAGAGTCAACCACATTGCTGTGGGTCTGGAGTCACATGTAGGCCAGACCAGGTAAGGATGGCAGTTTCCTTCCCTAAAGGACATTAGTGAACCAGGTGGGTTTTTCCTGACAATCAGCAATGGATTCACGGTCATCGTTAGATTTTTAATTCCAGTTATTTATTGAATTCAAACTCCACCATCTGCCATGGCAGGATTTGAACCTGGATCCCCAGAAGGTTATCTGGGTTTCTGATTAACGGTCCAAGGATAATACCACTAGGCCATTGCCTCCCCCTGTTAAAGCATATGTGCATAGACCGAGCAAACATGATTAATGAGATCACGTCCCCAACAAAACTATTACTCATTTCTGAGTAACAGTTAACATTGAGTCCAATTACTCTTCTTCAGAACTCCAGTTTCTCTCCAAATGGTTAGAGACTTGAGCTTCTCCAGCATTTCTTTTAACGTCAGATCTCCAACAACTATTTTGCTTTTATTACTTATTTTTCATTGGTTAGTTAGATGTGCAGTTACCAATATGTAGCTAATGGGTAACATATTTGTCAACATTGCGCTATATAATGGCAGGAAGCTGTTGGTGATTCAGTCTTCCAAGTTCCAAAAATCCCCTGCAGAAAGAAATTTTCCTTAATCTGTCTTTCAGTAATAAATTGACAATCCCACATCACTTACTCTTCAACTAGAGGAAACAGATATTCACTACTTCCTTGTCAAAACCCTTCATAATTTTAAACAATTAACTCTTCCGTTTGGCAGTAAATAACAATAGCAACTTATACGGCTCCTTTCAAGTAGTAAAGCATCCCAAGGAGCTTCACAAACTGTTTCCCAAATAAAACCGGACTAAAACAAAGAAGCAAAACTAAAAGGTCAGATGACCAAAGGTTGGTCGTTTCAAATCACTCAGAAAGGCAGAGTTGCTGTTGCAAAACACACTTTAACATGCATATCATAGTCTGGAGGTTTGGATAGTGATGGTAATAGCACCAACTTAATTTCCAGCACATACTGACCAGGAAACCCTCCCACTCATCACCTGCTACTTGTACACATTGGAAGGACTTGCAGTTGATAATTAACCTATTTGCCTCCATTATTAAAGGCACCTTTCTTGGGTGTGAAGTGTGACTCAAACCGAGAGCTTCTGACTCAAAGGCAGGGATGATGCTGTAGAGCCATAGAATTGTACAACACAGAAACAGACCCTTCGGTCCAACTTATCTATGCCAGCCAGATATCCTAAATTAAGCTAGTCCCATTTCCAGCATTTGGCCCATATCCCTCTAAACCCTTTCTATTCATGTATCCAACGAGATGCCTTTTAAATGTTGTATTTGTACCAGCCTCCAACGCCTCCTCTGGCAGCTCATTCCATACATACCTGCACCTGCATGAAAAGTTTCCTCTCGGGTCCCTTTTATATCTTTACCCTCTCACCTTAAACTCCACCCTGGAAAAAAAAAACCCGTGGCTATTCAACCTATCTATGCCCCTCACGATTTTATAAATCTCTAAGGTTACACCTCAGTCTCAGACACTCCAGCCTATTCAATTTCTCCCTTTAGCTCAAACCCTCCAACCTCAGCAACATCCTTGTACATCTTTTCTGCACCCTTTCAAGTTTAACAACATCCTTTCTATAGTAGGGAGACCAGAATTGAACGCAATATTCCAAAAGTGGCCTAACCAATGTCCTGCACAGCCTCAATATGACATCCCAACTTCTGTACCAACAAAGGGAAGTGTACCAAATGACTTCTTCACTACCCTGTCTACCTGTGACTCCACCTTCAAAGAACTATGAACCTGTACCCCAAGGTCTTTGTTTGGCAATATTCCCCAGGGTCTTACCATCTAACTGTATAAGTCCTGCCCTGGTTAGCCTTTCCAAAATGCAACACCTCACATTTATCTGAATTAAATGCCATCTGACACTTCTCAGCCTATTGGCCCATCTGATCAAGGTCCCATTGTACTCTGGGATAACCTTCTTCACTGTCCACTACACAAACAAATTTGGTGTCATCTCCAAACTTACTAACCATTCTTCCGTTATTCACATGAATTATCTGTATAAATGACAAAAAGGAGTGAGCCAGCACCTACCCTTGTGACACACTACTGATCAAGGCCTCCAGTCCAAAAGCAACCCTCTACCACCATCCTCTGCCTCCACCTTCAAAACAATTCCAAGAGATATGTAATAAATTGAACCCGAGAGAATAAGAAATGGGAGCAGGGGTAGACCATACAGGGGCAAGAGCCTGCTGGGCTATTCAATATAGTCATGGTTGTCTCATTGCTCCAACTCAACTTTCCCCTATTCCTTGGTTTTCAAGGGACCAAAATAAGTCTGCCTCAAGTCTTAAATATATTCATGATGGAGAATCCACAACATTTGAAGTACAAAATGCAAAAAGTTTACAACCCTGTGTGTGAAGAAAATTTTCCATATTTCAATTTTAAATGATTAACCACTTATCCCGAGACTCTGTCCCTGTGTTCTAGGCTCCCTATCTAGGGAAAATAACCTCAGTCTCGATCGTGTGAAGTTTCAGAATTTTAATTATCCAGTATTTAAATGTAGGGAGTCTAGCAATCTTTGCCACTATATTTAGCTTGCTAGATGTATCACGAGGTTTCCTCAG